TGGAGGTGAGGCTGACTGGTCTGTAGTTCCTCAGATCCTCCTTCTTGCCCTTTTTGGAGACTGGAGTGACACTGGCTTTCCTCCAGTTCTCAGGCACCTCTCCTGTCCTCCATGACCTGTCAGAGATGATGGGGTGCAGCTTAGCAATAACATCTGCCAGCTCCCTCAGCACTTGCCAGTGCACTCCATCGAGGCCCATGGACTTTTGAGTGTCTAGTCCAGCTAAGAGATCCCTAACCCAATCCTCCTCGACCAAGGGGCAGTCTTCCTTCCTCCAGACTTCCTCTCCTGCTTCCAAGATCTGGGATTCCTGAGGACCAGCCTTAGCAGTAAAGACTGAGGCAAAGAAGGCATTCAGTAACTCTGTCTTCTCCATATCCTCAGTCACCAGGTCATCTGCCTTGTTCAGCACCTGCTTCATTCAGCAGTGGGCCCACATTTTCCCTGGTCTTCCTTTTGCTACTGATGTATTTGAAAAATCCCTTCTTGTTGTCTTTGATGTTCCTACCCAGACTTAATTCCAAATGGGCCTTAGCCTTCTTTGTTGCATCCCTGTATACTCTGAAAACATTCCTATATTCCTCCCAAGTGGCCAGTCCTTTTTTTCACATGTTCTAAACTTCCTTCTTCCCTTTGAGTTTTTCCAGGAGCTCCTTGCTCATCCAAGCAGGCCTTCTGCTTCCTTTGCTCAATTTCTTCCTCATAGGGATGCATTGGTTTTGGGCTTGGAGGAAGTGGTGCTTGAATAGCAACCAGCTTTCTTGGGCCCCCCTACCTTCTAGAATCCTAGCCCATGGGATCCCTCCTTTGAAACCGCTAAATTTAGCTCTCTTGAAGTCCAGGGTTGCAATCCTACTGATTGCTCTGCTTCTTCCACGCAGAATCCTCAACTCCACCATCTTGCTGTCACTACAGCCAAGGCTACCCCCAACCTCCACATTCCCAACCAGTCCTTCTTTTTTGTTCATATGAGATCCAGCAGCACACCTCTCCTCATTGGTTCCTTCACCATCTGAGTTAAAAGTTATCATCAATGTTTTTCAGGAACATCTTGGACTGTGGATGCTTGGCTGTGTTGTTTTCCCAGCAAATATTAGGGTGGTTTAAGTCCCCCATGGGAACCAGGGCCTGTGATTGTGAGGCTCCTTCCAGCTGTCTGTAGAAGGCTTCATCCACCTCCTCATCCTGATCAGGCGGCCTATAGTAAACACCCACAACAAAGTCTGCCATCTTAGCCTGCCCCCTAATTCTCACCCATAAGCTCTCAACCCGCTCATCATCCCCCACTAGGCAGAGCTCCATATACTCCAGGTGCTCTTTCACACAAAGAGCAACTCCCCCACCTCGCCTAGTTGGCCTGTCTTTCCTAAAGAGTACAAGAGTATCATTAAATAAATCAGGTTACAGACCTCTGTCTGTCACTGAAGCTAATTGGCATGTGCAGTTGATATCCCTCTAAATAAATACTCTGACTCCCTAGATAGTGGTCTATACCTAAACTGCCTATGAGATAACGGCCCTTAGTACACGCTAACCCCTGAAACATGCTCCATCTGGGAGAATGCTAAGAACTGAACTGACAATTTAGCAGCATGAGTTCAAAATCTAGGGCCTGTGCCTTGGCTCTCTTCTCCTTACTCTTACAGGTGTCCACCATGTGGCTTTTCTCTGCTCCAGCATTATTTTCAGTTACAAAAAAACAGTAGTAGAAAAGCTGCTTTGCGGCTTGCCACACGTGTCTTTTTACCACTGATGACATTGTATGTGTACAGCAGAGCAGGGTACAGAAAACAAATAGTAAAATCTCCTGACAGAGTATTGTGAAGGCTGTGTCTGATAGAGCGAACAAAATTGGCACAATTAATTTCTTCACTACTGGTGTAGTGAGACTCTACCATGTACCTCTACACTATCTTCTGCCCCCGACCCCCCCAGATTTCCTTCTCAAGGGAAGGGTCTGGTTTCCGCCAGACTGGAGCTCAAGAAGGAAGCAATGTGTTTACAGGAATAAGGGCTTGGGGAAACACAGGTTGAAAAAATTTGGTAATGTCGTAGATGTCATCTGCCCTAACATTGGCAGGTACAGTACTGCTTACTATAATTTGAAAACTTATTTGAAATTCTGTTAAGTCACACAATGATGAAATGATAAGTTCAGCTCAGAATAAATAGCTTGTGCTGAATAAATATATACTGTAGCTTATGCTTCATGCATTTCCTTTTGTATGTAAGTTCTTGCTTTCACTATAAAATTAAAAGTCTCATTTTTAAAAAGTGCTTTTAAGGAAAGGAAAATGTTATTAAAATAAAAATAGTACTTACAAGCACTAAAAGTTCTCAAAGAATAAAGAACATGGGATATATGTACTTATGGGCTATTAATAAACAATGTTTGACTCACAGTTTTCCCTGTATAATTAATTTCCTGTGCTAAGATTAGATTTTTATATGCTGTTGATGACAGTTGTGCCTAGTTTTCACTCAACTCAGTGGAAATCCATCACTCAGTAACTTTAAAATTGCTTACTCATGCATCTCTGCAAAGAACATTCGAATAAGGCTCTTTCCTTCATGGAAAAATCAATTAAAATTATCAAAATATGCTAAAACAAGTAAACCTTTTCATGCCACAGGCTTATCAGCAACATCTGAAAGTAAAATTAATCAGAGAATTCAGTGATGGAAGATTTGGAAAGACTAAATTATAATTTTTCATGTTCTTTTTTATGTTCTAATTTTTCAGATTATCTGAAAATCTTGGATAAACAACTTTAAGGTCGTACAGCTCCAGATTTGATTCTGCTGTCTTCAGATAGAGAACATAAAGTCTTATTTCAGCTCCTGGAAACGAATTTTCAATGGTGCCTAAGGAACTGATATAATTTGAAAATTTTAAATAAATATAGTGCTGACAAAAGATTTTTATTTCTGTCACAGTGGCTTTTAGCAACTTTCTCTAGTGAAAATGAAGAATTTTAAGGAAAAACTGTTAACGTCCTATAATAGTTATCTCTTGACTTTATCATAGTAAGGACAATGCTGCATCTTCTACACAAACCAATACTACAGTTGAAATGAAAACAGGGGTTAACTTACATCTGGAAGTGTTAAGCTCATCCATGCATCAGGAAGGCAATTTGTTCCAAAAGTCAAATTAATCAAGTCCATAAAAATGTCAATAAATACTTTCTTTTGTATAAAACCTAATAAAAGAAAGTCAATATAAAAATAAATTATATTTACAATTTTTAATAGAGTTATTTTGTTGGTTTTTTAACTTTAATGGCCATATGGGAAAATTCTTTATTTTGGTATTATGTGCTATTAATAGTGGTAATATCTTTCAAGCCAAACATAAAATTTTCTCACTTAAAATAAATCATGTGTGGCCTGCCTAATAGCAAAATGTCAAATATTCCAATACACTACAATTCTTTTGATACTTGTCCTGATCTGCATTGTGATCACTAACCCATCCTCACACAGTCTACACTGATAGTTAATGAACCGTTCACAAATACCAATCACACACATTCTGTGTATTGAGTACCTACCAACCTTTTCTTTCACTGTGCCCTGTTTTAATTCAGTCATAAATCTATCTCGAGTCCTGAAAATAAGTGTGTGTTAGAGAACATGATGGAAACCACAGACCATTGTCTGTTAAACTTTGATTGTTTAAAAAGCTTCTCAGAATCAGCTTGTGGGACTTATAAATAGCTCCAATAATTTAATTTTAAAGAAATTGTAAGATAAAAATAAATAGGTGCAACCAAACCTGTTAGTTTTTTAAAATAAGCATGAATTTGCTTATAAGCAAATAGAACCTTCAAACTTCATGCACAGTATTAAAACACAAAATTAAGTATAGCAAAAAATGACAGACAGATGTGATTCTTTTCTTTAAGAATTTGACTTTGCTGGCTTAGTCAGGATTCACTGTGAAACCTCTGTAGTAATGACAAAAAATGTAAAATAAGTTTCAAATTATCTAAATTTTGAGAGACAAAGCTGATATGGTCAGGTTATGATCACTTCCATAGCACCAAATCAGTAAGTTTTCAGACTACAGTTAAAAGCAAACACAATTAGTGAAATAACAGGACTCAAATTTTTTTCTTTTGACAGCTGAACTTCTTGACCTTTTGAAAAGGCACATCTGTGCACATTCTATGGCTAACAAACTTTTTTCTTTGAAGTGGAACAGTGAAGTGAAATTCATTAAGTTTATGAAGAAAGATTTAAGTGGTAGGAATATTAAGAATCTGTTTGTATATTAATTGCATAATGTCAGTGTTTAAAATCAACTTGCCAATTTGAATTAATAGTCTACAATCTCTGTAGACATGTTCGCCTCCAATCAGGAAAACCAGGAGTAACACCCTCAGCACATCTTAATACAGCAGAGAAATCCTACACATATATAACCTTTGAGAGAAGAAGGAAAAAGTAGATTTGGGAAGCTTAAAGTCTGTTGGGACAGGAACAAGAAAAGGAGAAACATCTGGACGTCAAGCCTTTTGTCCTACCATTAATTTCAGCATGAAAGCAAAATCTGGGAGAAAATACTGGCAGATTGATAACAGTAATCTGATGTTACCTCTTCAATGTTTTTGAGGTTTCTACTTTGAGAAAGACTACCTTTTAAAATCATGTGAGTTAGGCTCTTTACTGTAGCACCTTGGATTGCTGATTTAATAATTTTAAGATAACCAGAAACTTGTATTTTGAGAGAACTTCAAGCCACAAGAATCATATGATTTCCATATGGTACAATAAAGCCTACATCACAGAAGCATCATTATTGGGAGACTTCACAGAAGATTCAATAAACATAGTAACTTTTTACTGGTCCATGGGGACAAAAGGCTATAATCCACTAAGGCACCAGTGAAAAAATGATATTAAAATATGAGAAAATTTTTTTCATCTTATTTGCAGTTTCAAATTGTCTAGTACTTTGCTTTACCCTGAAAATCCCTATCATAAGTTTTATTTCATGTTTTACTAAACATTTCCCTTTCCACATCTGGTCCTCAGTACTCTGGCAATCTAACTTCTTTCTCATATTATCTTGTGGTTTAAATTGTTCAGTTCCTACTGTGATTTCCCTATATGACAACAAAAAATGCTGTTCCTGTATTTGCTATGAGTTTCTGGCTGTCTAAAATGAGATTGAATTTTGTTCTTCTGCATAAAATTCTAAAAGGATACTAATAGCCTCATGTCATTTTCTGTGAGGATACGTGACTTCAGAAACACACCTAAAAAGTATTTGATGTGCAAGGAAATTAAAGCAGTTGAATCAAGTGATAATATCTGAAACAGGATTAAAGGATTGGAGTCCAAAGCATTAATCACAATTTATAAGCTTTGGATCGTATAACATGCTAGAACATAGTTTTCAGGTAAATTTGACATTAGTTGATGTTAGCCTACATCGAACAGGAATTATTGTGAGGTATTTAAGCACTGTCAGGTGATGTGCAGTGTTTACCCATTTTTCTTCCTCTGTGGTAAATGTGAAGAAATAACCCTCTCTTTCATTCAGAGCTAAGCTAATTTTTATCTATTAGTTATAGAATTGCTGATGTGCTGTAGGGTAATTTCTTTTACTTTACTACTTTCTCCTGAAACATCTGATGGGGGACAATTCCAAAGTATCTTCAAAAAGTTATGATAGTTAGAAACTTCAAATGGTGTGTGATCTAATTTTTTCTCATGACATATCTAGTAGGAATGAAGAAGTCTCAGAGAGAGAGGTGAAATCACTCATAAGCATATAAAAATATACATCAAATAACTTTCCTCAACCTATTTTTAGATATTTTGTCTAGGTTTAATGTATTTGGGTTTATATTATAGAACATGGAACTGTTTCTGAATATCTGATTATATTATAAAATTTATTATAAAATTTAATTTGGGGTTGCCAATGTTTTATAATTATGGAGAGATGCTATGAGTGGGTAGTTACACAGAAGGTGCTGAGAAAAGAATACTGGTGGATGAAAATTGGGAAAAAATTCCCATCATTGGCTTTGTCCACCTAACAAAACTGTTTCAAAACAGGTATGCTCTTTACAAAACCTTTTTGTTAAGTCAAAAAAATAAAAGGAAACCAAACCCAACAAGTTTTTGTTAAATGATACAGGAGACTGAATAGAAAATGAACTTATTAAATGTGTAGAAACACTTTTAATTAGAAGGGGTAGCAAGAATTTTGGAAAAAGAATCAGAAAAAAAGCTGGAGAGATGGTCAAGATCAGTAAGTAAACGTCACTGGAAACAGACGAAAGTACGTTGAGGAAACTGACTGCAAATTAATACACCTACTACATTGCAGATAAAACCAATCAGGAAAGGATTTCAAGAACACTTGAGAACAGGATTAGAATTCAAAGTGAACTTTACAAATCGGAGATACAGTCTAGGATAAAAAGGACACTATCCAATAAGAATAAATGTCAAGTGCCACACTGGGCTGAAATACGAATTACACAAATGTCACAATGGGAATCTTACTGTCAAAGTAAAATTTCTGTAGAAAAATCTCCAAGGATTATGGCAGACTACAGTATCACCACAAAGTACAGGGAAGACAGCGGAAATAATCCCTGCATTCTTTTTAGCCTGTGAGGCTTCTGCTGGCATACAATTTTGGAATTTGCAGATCTAGAAGGAAGTATGGAAACTATAGAGTGTGTCCAGAAGAAAGCAACAACTATCATCACAGGCTTAAAAAGCATGTCCTGAGAGGCAAGGTTGAAGGAATTCTGCTAGTTTCATCAAAAAAAGGAAGACAGTGAGAAAACATAGAAGTAGTTTTTCAGTTAAAACTGAATGTTACAAAGAGGATAGGGATAACTCCCTCTCCATAGCTGCAGTTAGGAAAAATTATAGAAAATAAAATTCATTTGCAGCAAAAATATTTCAGATAGCAGTAAAAAATATATAATCAGAAGGACTAAACTTGATCCCATTTTTATACATGGATGACTTCTTGATATCCCTTTCCAACTACTTGTTATGATACTAAGATTTTACTAGTATTTTTCCAAGGGCAATGTATCTATCTTCAATCCTAATACTAAAAATGTGATGCTGCCCCTGTGCATCATGGAAGTGACTTCAGTGTTATAGATTCTAAATATACTTTTTTTCATTACTCTGGTTTTTGTCTTCTGCTGTTAGACATTCTGGAGACACATTGTCAAACTTTTCCTAATCTTGTTGCAGTTAAAATCATAGACTCATCGAACAGTTTGGTTTGGAATGGACCTTTAAAGGTCATCCAGTCCAACCTCCCTGTAGTGAGCAGGGACATCTTTAGCTGGATCATGTTGCTCAGAGCCCCGTCCAACCTGACCTTGAATGTTTCCAAGGATGGGGCATCTACCACCTCTCTGGGCAACCTGTGCCAGTGTGTCACCACCCTCATTGTAAAAAATTTCTTCTTTATATCTAGTCTAAATCTACCCTCTTTTAGTTTAAAACCATTACCCCTTGTCCTATTGCAACAGGCTCTGCTAAAAATATTGCTCCCATCTCTCTTATAAGCCCCCTTTAAGTACTGAAAAGCCACTATAAAGTCTCCCCAGAGCCTTCTCTTCTCCAGGCTGAACAACCCCAACTGTCTCAGCCTGTCCTCACAGGAGAGGTGTTCCATCCCCCTGATGAACTTTGTGGCCTCCCAGGTTCATGTCTTTCTTGTGTTGAGGAATCCAGAGCTGGCCATAGTACTGCAAGCGGGGTCTCACCAGAGTGGAGTACAGGGGAGGTGGAGTCTCACCTGCCTTGATCTGCTGGCCACACTTCTTTTGATGCAGCCCAGGATATGGTTGGCCTTCTGGGCTGTGAGCACACATTGCTGGCTCATGTCCAGCTTTTCATCCACAGGTACCCCCAAGACCTTCTCCTCAGGGCTGCTCTCAGACCCTTCATCCCATGGCCTGTATTGATACCAGGGGTTGCCCTGACCCAGGTGCAGTACCTTGCACTTGGCCCTGTTGAACTTCAGGGGTTCACATAGGCCCACTTCTCAAGCTTGTCCAGGTCCCTCTGGATGGCATCCCGTCCCTCAGATGTGTCGACCACACCACTCTGCTTGGTGTCATCTGCAAACTTGCTGAGGGTGCACTCAATCCCACCATCTATGTCGCTGATGATGATAATAAACAGCACTGGTCCCAATACAGACCTC